TTACTACTACTACTACTACTACTACTACTACTACTTACGCCAAGGCAGCTGCTACCATTACTTCTTTTACTACTACTACTACTCCTACTTACGCCAAGACAGCTGCTACCATTACTTCTTTTACTACTACTACTACTACTACTACTAACGCCAAGGCAGCTGCTACCATTACTACTACTACTACTACTACTACTACTACTACTATTTACGCCAAGGCAGCCGCTACCATTACTTCTTTTACTACTACTACTACTACTACTACTACTTACGCCCAAGGCAGCTGCTACCGTTACATCTTTTACTACTACTACTTCTACTTTTGACCCTAAGACAGCTGCTACCATTACTTCTTTTACTACTACTACTACTACTACTACTACTACTGTAACTACTACTACTACTACTACTTACGCCAAGGCAGCTGCTACTATTACTTCTTTTACTACTACTACTACTGTTACAGGGGCGGTGTAGCAGCCTAGTGGTTAAAGCGTTGGCTCGTCACGCTGAAGATCTGGGTTCGATTCCCAACATGGGTACAATGACTGAAGCCCATTTCTGGTGTCCCCCGCCGTGATATTGCTGGAATATTGATAAAGCGGCGTAAAACCATACTCACTCACTCACTACTGTTACATCTTTGCAGAATGGATTGATGGCACTGTTTAATAAACGGTACTGACACATATTGTTTTCATGACACATGCATTCTAATTATGCTTTATCTGTATCATATTCACGCATCTGTTCCGAGGACGCGCGCATAATTGATAGTGAAAAAAGCTTCTCCAAGGAAACACACATTAAGCATTATTGTAAACAAATGCTGGATGCCGCCCCGCATTAACAGTATGAGGGTATCGTCCCCAACACTTAGCTTTATCGATCATCACTGTCTGTGTGATTGATGCCAGCCCCGTACTTGAAGGTTCTTGTCGTGACCGACTAGAATATTAACGCGTAATCCATATTCTTATAGTCAAGTGAGGTGCGACCTTTATAACCAAACCCACACCTTGAACTATTTTTAGTAGAAAGGAAGCTCTGTTAATATGGCCTGGTAATACTCATGGGACTGCCTCTTTAAGAATTAAGATCACTTAGAATGAAAAACCTTAGTCAAATCTGCATATAAACGTATGTGCATAACTTAATTTATTTCTCAATGCACGTTCTTGAGAATATCTGCGTAAGGCTATGTCTTCAGTGCGTGCGTGAGTGAGTATGGTTTTACGCCGCTTTTATCAATATTCCAGCAATATCACGGCGTGGGACAGAAGAAATGGGCTTGCAAATTCTACCCATGTGGGGAATCGAACCCGGGTCTTCGGCGTGACGATCGAACGCTTTAACCACTAGGCTACCCCACCGCCCTATGTCTTCAGCAACCTATGTGTAGTGACAGACAGCTATCGGTACCTAGTGGTCACGCCAGCTGACGTGGTTGATCCACATCATCGTATTTCAGTGGTGTAGATTGATGCTCATTATGTCAATCATTGGACTGACTGATCGATTTACCGACCGCGTATATAAAGCTATTCATGGGGCACGGCATAAAACAAAGAAAGTGAGTCTGTAAGTTTAGTATTACGCCGCACTCAGCAATATTCCAGCTATATGGCGGCGGTCTGTAAATAATCTAGTCAGGACCCGACAATCCAGTGATCAACAGCATGAGCATCGACCTGCGCAACTGGGAACCGATGAAATGTATTAACCAAGCCAGCGAGCAGGACCACCCGATCCCGTTAGTCGCCTCTGACGACAAGCATGGGTTACTGAAGGTTTATTCTAACCCGGACCTTCACGGGCCGTACAAACATTTGTGGATGTTCACTTACCAGAACATCTGTGGGAATTTAGGTGTATAATTATAGCTCCAAAGCATTCCGTACTTAAGGTGAGAACAGTCAAAAGAAAATCGGGGAGTTTGCAGGTGCGGAGCAAGCCAGGTTTTTCGTGTCAGCCCGACAGTCGCAAAGCTTTATATTTAGATCGTATTTGGGGGCTTGCCTAACCTTTTTAGCAACAATCACGTGTAAACCTGGGCTATTTTTATAATGGTAGCTACGCCCCTGGTTTGGTTCGTCTCCTGGATCTTCATGTACCGATAAGTATGGATCGTTATCCTTGCTTCCAATTTGTTTAGTTCCGAATACACCGCCACAATCATATGTCTGAAATATTTGTAACTGCGTTGTAAAACGATACTCATCATATAGAAATAGAATAGTGACGTCATGCACTACGTCATTCTAATCAGGAAAGTGCAAAATATACAGTCATGTAATACTGGTAGGTGAGTGAGTTTGAACATTATTCCAGTTACATCACACCTGATGTATGAGGAAAGTTCAACGTTTAACGGATTAAGGACACCTTGGGGGATGAAAAACACCTGTAAGGCGCTGACAAACGTGGGAACATAAATAACATTGTGATTTCGAACCTAAGATCACAGGTTTCTGGTATCTCAAGGAACCCAACTCTGGTCAGAGCAATTCGCAAATACGCCACGCTTGCCCTCCTGTCAAAACAAAGATGCCGACATGTACATGGACAGATGTTTAAGTCAAGTGATCGTTGGCAGAATCATAGGTGTTATTATAATGTTACCCTCTATCTAGTTACCTATGAATTGTAAGATGAAATAATCGTTTTGAAAGTGCACGTAAGGAAGTATTTTTAAAGTCATCACGTCATGTAAATGTAGTATGATAATAGGCATTTTCTTTTTCACTGGGACAAACATTCATCAAAGATTTCATATGGGAATCATGGATCGAAACACAACATCAGAACATTTATTGTTTAATTTAAAATAAGCAAAAACGATTACATTCAGGAAGTTGATATTTTCCCGTGTCATTTACACTTTGAAGTTGTGGATGGGAGGAATCTCTGTGGTAAGATTCGATTTTCTACTCTTTCAAAATTGTGTTATTTTGCTCGTTAAACATCTATCAATGTCGCGTGAGTGGACTGGGGGTATTACTCTTCTGAATTCTTTTTAGGCAACCAAAGAGTTGGCTTTATGGAAAAAAGTGTCTGAAGAAGATAAACACTTAAAAGTCCTTTGAGAAAAACAAGGGCACTGAAAAATGTCATTTAATGTTCACATGTTTAATGTTCAATATTTAGGTTTTGAACTCGTAATGGTGATCAAATAGCTAACGTGGCATGGTTGTACATGCCTTAACATTTCAGTCTTTGTTCCACGTTTGAATTACGTTGTAACAAAATGGAAGTACGATTCCAGAGTTCAAACCAAAATATACGTATCAGTATTTTCTTCCTAAGGCTTCTTTTATATTCACTAATCAGGTTGTAATGTTTCATGACAAATGCTTTTAGTGATGTATCTTACTGAGTGACAAACTTGTATTCTCAGAATATTTCATCCCGTTGGTCCTACGACTACAGTATATAAGATATAAAAGTAAATTTGCTTCATACAAACTTACTTCAATCACAAAATATTATTCTGAAATCTCCAATGCATTTTCCTCCTCGACCCTGTTGTTCGATATTCACAATTTCCACCCGACAGTTCAAGCACTGGATGTTTCAGTGTTGGATGGGGGACGAACGAACGAATGAACTAACCTAACGAAGTTAAAACATAGCAAGAAGTGTACTGAAGCAGACATATTGGCAAAGCAATCCATCAAACATGTTACTGCTGTTATACTGGTAAAGTTTATTGAATAATAGTAATTGCAAAAATCCCACCAAATAGATATTATCCAAGTACATCAAGGAGGTAATTTAGTTAATTTTCCGATGGGGTCGGGAAGGTAGGGGGTTGTTTTTTTTATTTAATTTCTTTTCTTTCCTATTTTATTATGTACAATTGAAGGTTCTGAAGAAAACGTTTCAGGTGTTTTTTCAGGGCCTCCGTTTGGTATCCAGACTGAGTGATTGGGCTGAGTGCTGACGTAGATAGAGCGGCTGAAAAAACAGCCTTTTTTGACCTGACTCACGTCCGCTCAGTCTGACATGTAACATGGGATGTTGGCACAGAGCGATTGACTCCCGCAGAGTAAGCGCTATTGAGCGATTCCTGTTTCCGTTCTCACACCACTAGAAACGAAACACTACGACGACAGCTGACGTACTTTACTTTTAGCCTAAGTCCCAGATACAGCCGTTGAAGATGCAAATGACTTGAGTTTCTTGAGGAGATAATCAACAGCCTCAGTCACGATAGATGATGAAAAGGAACGTTTTCGGCAACCCTGCTCCCCACCCACCGCGGATTCTCAAACATGCTGATACCAGGGATACAGGGATGTTATTCACAAGCGAATATGGCATGAAAGGCTGTCAAATACTAGTTGACTACCAAATCAACGCCAGACTGGTTCGGTCCTTGACAAGAAATTTGAGACAAACATTATTCAGAGGTTAACATTACCAGATTGGCCCATGAGTCACACCCTTCAGGATTAAGACTTAAGGCAAATTAAAAATTGTGAGTATCAGAGCCAAACCTACTCGCAATATATCCATCCACAAAGAGCCAGGAAAAGTTAGATGACACACAAGTGTCTTCAAATTGATGTCCCGGAACATGTTATCCATATAGTTCATTGGCTGATACCTACTCGCAATATATCCATCCACAAAGAGCCAGGAAAAGTTAGATGACACACAAGTGTCTTAAACTTCTCGAGCATTCTATGTCCCGGAACATGTTATCCACTCAGAATGTTATTGGCTGATCATGTGGAATACACGCAATATATCCAGATAAACAAGATTGCCAGGCAACTCTAAAGTGCTTAGATGACAGACAAAAATACTATTGCCAATTGATGTCCCGGAACATGTTATCCATATAGTTCATTGGCTGATATATTGGCTTAATCAATGTGATATTACAAATTACAAATAACACACTCTCATAACAATAGTCTGTCCTCCCTTGGGTTTAACTTCTTCATGAAGATTTGGTGGCAAGGGTCATTTACATTGCGTATGACCTGACTATACATATGGCAGACAAGGGATTCCAAAGACTTCAACATGTCAGTATCTGTCTCGTCAGAACGTCCAATCTTGGAAAAGGCATCCGCAAATTCAGGGTAAGATTTGAGAAGCTCATTGGGGAGAACTTTGCAGCGTCTGACAAAGGTACTGGTGGTATCACGTCCTGAGAATGCATGAAACGTTGGCGGGACACTGAGCAGAGTGGACCCTTTCATGATACCTTGTACATCCAGAAATCTTCGTTTGTCACTAGTGCCTGTGTCAGAGTGGACACTAGAATCATTCTTTACGTTTTGCATGTTGGTGCTGGGAATCCTTCTGCTGCACAATTTGTGATATGATCAGCTGATACAGATGTGTTGATTGTGCATCTGAAGGTTGCTCTAAAGGTGAAAACTTCTGTTTTGTTTCACACAGGCACTGGTGAGAGATAGAGAGCAGTTATTAGAATGTATTTTGTGAATAAAGCAGGCACTGATTTTCCCAAATTCGTCGCTGTGTGTAATAAATAAGAAGTTGTATGTTTCATTTTCACTATCTAAGTCTATCTGCACATCAATACTAGAAGAGGAAGTGATAGTTCTGACAATGCGTGGACGTTTCCAAGAAAATATAGATGCATTTTCTTTCTGAGTCACCACAATCCGAGTGATCTCCGGATAGACAATGATTAATACACCACACAGGAACACAGATGACAGTATCATGCATATTGAATGCAGTTGTCCGGAAACGGTTGATCTTCTGGTATGTCTCCTCAACGGTAGATCTATACGGAATAATATTTTCTGGATGTCAACTTCTTTATTATGAGGAACACAACGTTGCGGATTATATCCTTACTCCTTCCTCGGGTGAATGAAGCAGAGAGCATATATATGTACATGTAAGAAAAACAACAAACGTAATAAGACAACAAGATGCAGGCTAAACGATAGAAGCCAATAATAACTAGCGTTGACGTGGTTGAATGATTTATGTCTATGTGACATGGTCGAATCGTTCCATGTGTGACTCAGAAATGAAAAATTATCCCTCCCCGTCGCTAAGTTTCGAACAACAATGTATATTTCCATCCCATGAAATTTGAAAATGATAATTTTTCACCTTTTCTGATGATTTTTATGTGCTTTATCTAACCGTAAATACCTCGTATGTACGTATACACATACCATTTTATCTCTTGTAGGTATTTAACATCGAAAATCCACCCAGGAACTGTCTCCATGTCCAACGTGAGCCTAACTGTGTGATAAAAGTCAATACTACTTATTTCATCATTTGCACCTCTCACCACACATAAATTCAAATGTTCTCTGTGCAAATATAAAACTTGTTCGTTATGGATAAAACACCGGCCGCGGGAAACCGCATCCGTTTCTGACGTGTCCACACCCGAGTCTGACGACGCAAAGCGACAATGTAATTTCATCACATTCAGCAGCATAGATGACTGTAACAACGATGCCGTTTTCAATGACAAACCTTTAACTATACTGCACATCAAAGACGTCATGGCGATGATATGTTCAACAGAAATAAGGCCAATCTTTAGAGAGAAGATGAAATCCCTGCTTACTATAAACACTCAATTAGAAGAAAGGGTTTCTGAACTCTGTAAGACTATTCAGGAACAGACTGGACCGAAGTGACCACTACTCTCGCCATAACAACCTGAGCATCTCGGGTATCCCTGAGGAAGAAGGAGAAAATACCGACGCTATGGTACTTAAAGTCGCGGAATCCATTGGACTCGACGTCAGTCCCCGCGATATGGACGTAAGTCACAGAGTCCCATTTCGGCCGACCACGCCCCAGGAGAAATCAAGACCTATACTGGTAAGATTTGTCAGCAACACGACCCAACGGCTTTCTCTTAATCACGGTCCAAACTGTAAACTGTAAAAGAGATATGTATGTTATGCTATTCTCAACATGCTTTTTGTATTAAATGTCTCTCGAATAAAAGTTTTATCAATCATGCTTCAATGTGAACTATATGAACTCCCGCTAAGTAGAAAACCCATAATTCAGATGTCATATTCACTCGCTCGTAAGTGCAATTGACATTTGCTTTGTATATATGCGGGACTTCCATTTTCTGCACTAATACATCGACGTAAAAGTACATTATTTACATTAGTAATATGTTTGTTACACGTTCATGATGATTGCAAGCATCAGTAATGTAAACGGTCAAATGTACCACAAATATGTGTTAACTGTAATATGAAATATGTTATTGTTTAAAAATAATTTATAATTTATCCTTTCAAAAATATTGTTCACAAAAATTGGCGGTATATCATGGGAGATTTTCTTTACTTAACTCATAACCACTAGGTACTTTTAAAGGTAGTACTTACATCATTTGAATCTATTGCTTAAATGGTAAAGGGAATATTTAAATTTGTCCAAATGACCTATTTAAATTTTATAGCAATTTTGTGAGTTTCCTTTTATTTATTTTCTGTCTGTTTTTTTCGGTGAAGATATCTGTTTTGGATACAGACTTTTTGACTCTCAGTAATATGTTTCATCTTCAATAACATGCAGATTACATGACTACATATTTACTTTTATAATTTTCACATAAAATGTACTTCTACCTTTAATGCTTTATCACAACAACCTGTCAAATGCTCATGTCTAATGATTTGTGCATGCATATGAATCTAATATTATAGTGATATCATACATGTACATCATGTATCTGCATTACTGTCAGCTGTATGCATCACGGCTTTGTATATCTGTGATAATGTAATATTGGAAACTAATTTAAAAAACAAAACAATAAACAAAAAAACCCAAAAAACCCAAACCCACCCAATATGACAAATATAGCCATCTAAATGTTTACAAATGATCATCATAAGATATTAATATAAAGCACATATCCACGTAACTAGTGCATGCTCAAGGCGCTGGTACTTTGTTCCCTCGATCATTGGATGTCAATGAAATATCAACGACACATCGTTTTTTAATCTCAACTCCCTGGGGATCATACAACTCTTGCAGCCACTCTTGCAAAGATCTTACGACTTTCCCTTCTTTACGAGGTACCCTTCAACAGCTGGGTGGACTGGGGCTTATAGTCACAGTACTTTGTCCATGTTTACTGCACGCGCAGCTGTACCCTCCACAAGTTGTTTGCATGTATTCTTGTTGCCACAATCTAGTCATATACCAACGGATTCGTGGTATTTTAAGTGCACAGGGTTGTGTACTGTACACTAGGGGTTGTGGCAACACTGAAAGAGTCTGCACACAAAGGTGACTACAAGTTTTTTACACCCGGTCACAGGTGGGCTCGATCCCGGCATCTCGAAGCTCGCTGGATCACTAGCCTACAATCTTGATACAATCTGAGACAAGTACTCACATTTGCACAATAAAACAATCAGAGTAACTATCTAATAATATATCCAACATGATTGCCAAGTTACACAACACTTGCCCAAGTCAGCCGACACACATGCACGATCATCTTGCTTTTACTCTCACCTATTCTGATTTCTATTCCACCAACACATTCCTCTTATGAGGATTTTGATATTTATCTGCTTTTTATTTTTTCACTTATTGTTTATCAATAAAGTTTATATGCATTACATTTCCAACAATAAATATTTTGTTTACTTTTTATGACTTTTGTCTATGCTTATGTTGTGTTGTATGTCATTTTACATTGAAGCAAGCTGTTGGCTAAAACTTCACCTATGTTTTCCAATTTTCTATATTTCCAACCCAACCGCCACTATGTATATTTACTTCTAACTTATGCTTCCCCGTGAAGATCCGGGTTAGAATTGATCTTCAGTAACCCATGCTTGTCGTAAGGGGCGACTAACGGAATCGGGTGGTCAGGTTCGCTGGCTTGGTTGACACATGTTATCGTAGCCGGTTGATATAGCTCAGTACAGGCGGGCGGTTGGATTATTTCACTTGCATATCTCCAGCAAGGCACGATGAACATTTGTCTTATTATCATACTATATACTATATTTTTCCTTCTATATATACAAACGAAAAACTCCGGTTTACATTGTAATTTTATTATTATGTTGTGGCGATATTCATACTAATCCTCGCCCTAGCAAAGACTGATCTGATGATTGTTCCTTTAAACGTAAAGAGTCTTAAAGATAAAGTAGATTTACTCTCGCCCAAGCTCTCTTCATAAACGATGAATTTTCCAAACCATCACGGTATTACTTGTCATTCGACAGCAAACGACTATTTTCACGCCCGCCAATGTGACATTTATGTCCATAAATATTGAATGCAGTCGCCTGGAAACGGTTGTCCTGATGCTGACGTATAAACTTTTCCGTCAAAATGTGTAATTACTCGAGTCCAGGTTTAAGTGGATTCTATGTCCATCGTGAGCATTAAACACACAGGTATTGTGTCGCGTTATTCCCCTTGGGGAATGATATACCCCGTTCCAAATTGAAATTAAAGAAAATCAATACTTTTTCGAAACAATAGTTATTCTTGACGTTAAACCTTAACTTTGTAGCCTACAAAGATGACTGACTGACTGAGTTTGGTTTTACGCCGCTTTTAGCAATATTCCAGCAACATCACGGCGGGGGACACCAGAAATGGGCTTCACACATTGTTCCCATGTAGGGATTCGAACCCGGGTCTTCGGCGTGACGAGCCAACGCTTTAACCATTAGGCTACCCCACCGCCCCCCTACAAAGATGAAATGCACGTGTGCAAAACAAATTTCTTAGGTCATTCGGTGCATGTTTGCTTCAACTGAACACGCCCATTGAATGTGAGCTGGAAAAACTAAATTAAACTGTTCATTTTAATCTTTGTTTGGAAATGTCACGCCTTTAAAATGAAGAGAGCCAACGTGCTATGGGGACGCTTGATGTTGGTCGCTATTGCAAGAGCCTTTAATTGCTTCCGACCGCCTGAGGCCGGGTGCGTCACGTGCACGTTTGACGTCACTCAAGCAATACGATTACGTCATTTTTGGAACGGATTTGTTGCTGCAACCTCCACAAAGAGGTGTCTGGTGGAAGGATAACTGCACAAACTGTCAGAAGTCTCTTGTGTGCCGCTGAACTTTGCAATCGAAGTCCTCATATCTGACCAATTGCCACGCCTCTTCATCGCCGCA